ATGTACAGTTTTATACAATCATTAGGCACGAATTATTATTTAAAAGACACCAGTGCGTCTCTAACTATTAACATCACAAACAAATCGATCACATAAAAAATATTAATTTAAGATATTTTCCTCCTAAGCTGTTTTTGTGATGATGTATGCAAACAATCTTGCTATTCTGCATATAGTATATTAAATGTGTGTTCGTTTATATACCTCAAAAACGTTGAAGGGTGTGAGTGAAAATGGGGTGACTACAACGCTCAAAGAAGTTTTTATTAGAATGTCTAATTTTCTGTTTTATATCATGTGTGTTTGTAGAAGTTTCAGTAAATTTTGGGTGCTATTAAGTTCGATTGTTGCAAAAAGTCGTATTTTTCGATATCTTTCTTTTTAAACAACTGTATAAACTTCCTTTTGTGAAAGAAGAATTAGCACCATAAGTCATCTAACGAGGTTTTCTTGTACATGGGGAGAGATAGATTTTGTTTTAGAATTTTGGTTTTTCCTTGAAACTTATTGTTTTCATTTTAGCTCCCTTGTTTTTCGATGCATGCTTATTTCATATTCTTTTGTTTATATTAAAAACTTCCAACCGTTATCAAAATATGAACTATGTGCGGCGCGTATAAAGCAAAATGACGGTAGATCTTAATTTTTATCGATTTATATATGGTTTAATGGAGCTGCTACGAATATATCTGTTTTATTTCAATTAGAAAATTCTTTATGGCAAGACATCTCAAATACTGATGAGACTATATGTAGAATTAAAATCATTCTTTTTGCTTCAGTATCTATGATCGTCTTTGGTTGAACTCTTTGAAAAGAGTTTTTCTCTGTAATTCACCATCAAAATCAGAGTAGAAGAATAGTATTTTCTAAAATTTAAAACAAATAGCATGAAAGATCACTGTCAGTGTGCGTAGAGTTATAGCATGTATTTAAAGATACTCGGAACCTATCTAGTTATGTGATGTGGCAGAAGGTACCAACAAATGTCTGATCTCATAGGAGTTCGTTAGTTTCGAACAAAAAACACATTTAGTTTTGTAGATTTTATTTTATTGTGGAGAAAACTGAACGTACATTCATTTTAATAGTGAAATAGTTTTATTTATTGTAGTTTTTATTAATAAAATTCAATCGAAAAAAAATTAAAAAACTTATTCAGAATTAACGTCAAAATCTACACGATCACATGTATATTTTAGCTAAATCATTTTTCCACAGAAAATGTACGGGTATTGTTCCTTAGCATTTTTCTTCTCAAATTTTGGATATGATCAATTTTATATTTGACAGAGAATTTACTGTATTTTATATGGGTTGGTACAGGTTTTCTCACTGATTCTCAATATATTTTTCTTTTTCCAATCGAGTTCTGACAATAGAAACTACTTTCGATAAGGGCGGCTGATTTCTAAAATCAGTTGATGTTTTACTTTATTAACAATAAAAAAAATCTTTAAAAAATCTAAATGAACAATACTGTAGTGCAAAATCGACTGATTTCAATCAGGTAAGACTTTTATTTTTATGTTTTACTACAAAAATTCGACTTCTCGTTTTATCTTTTATACCATAGATTGATAAGCTAGAGCACGTCCATTCAGATTCTATGTCCATCTTTGTGGTAATTCAATGTCTTCGCCTAAACACTGACGATTTCCTGAAAGCTCTGCAATCCTGAAGATTATGCTTCGAATGTGACGAATTGTCACGCCTACAGCTATAGTAAAGCGATTTACATAAGAGTTGAAGAAGGAGTTAATTAGGACTCTCTCTATCTTTAACGACTACATGGTTGACAAATACGAATGATGCAAAAGATATTTAGTGAGTTTCAATCGATACAGAAGACAGGACAATTCCTGATATTCCATCAGATAGATACCGGTAATAACCAAGTTTTGCAACACCTTGTAGGCAAATGCGTAGACAACTTGTCACGATACATTATTATTTCGATGTTTCGTTAATGATTTCATCATATCGACAAAAGACATATAGTAACCCTTCGAAAGGATCAGATATGAGCGTGGGTGTACCTGTGGTAAATGAAAACGGGCACGCATACCCCATATGCACCCACACCCAACTTTCAGTCCTACGACATGATGTCTGAGGGAGATTTTCGCTAAACAAAACTCAAGAATGGCTTATTTGGTAACTCAAAATTTTCTGTGGGTCATCATTTTATACATTTGATTTTTTTTGTTTCGAACACCATGTCAGGATGCAGGACATGACAGAGTTCCTTTAAATAAAATTTTACTTTTTAGGTGAAGAAAATGAATGACAAGTTCAATAACAAAAAATACTTCCGAAAAATGGGAATGCCTTTGATTATTGCATATGTTATTTATTTTCTTCACCTAAAAGGTAAAACTTTGCAAAAAAGAGCTCTGTTATGTCCTGCGTCGTAACATGTTCTTTCAAATAAAAAAAATGTATAAAATGAAGATCCACAGAGAATTTTGAGCTACCAAATAAGTCATTCTTGAACCTTTTTTTTAGTGAACACCTCACTCAAACGTCATGTTATAGGACCAAAAATTTTACCAGTCTCTCCACTACAGTCCCACAATATTCTGAAAATTCATGCTATTTGTATGTGCTTGGAATAAAAAGCTGTTCTGAGAATGAGTGTGAGAGGCCTTAAGTGTCCGAGTACTTTATGAAGTATCTCCAGCCATGTATTTAATAAAGAACAGCATAAAATTTATTAGGCAGCCTTTTTTTACATTATAAAGTTCAAGGCAAGAAATAGACGCTATCCATCCTAACCCTCTTTCTAAGTAAGCAATCAGAACGCTGTAATGCCACTAATCTACATTGCCGAGGGATTAAACGCGCACAAATTCTCAGACCACCAGCATCTAGGATGGATAAGATCCGTTATGGTTGAGACTTTTCTCCATTACTGTATAGAAAGTAATAGAAGACATTTATAGATATTTCAAATATTATTTTCGTACAATTTAAGCGAACTCATGAACAACACCTGCTTACACTGATATTGTACGATCATATGAGATAAATTAATTACCAAAATGTTTTGATGTAATGAACCCAGCAGTACAAGTACAGTAAAAAGATTTTTAAAGAAATACACGAACAGCTATAGGCATAATAGTTCACCTGCATAGGCGGCGAGAAAGTCTGTTTTCTAACTATTTCTCTCGTATATTCTCAAACAATCATCGAGTGGTCAAATACTGAATGATATAGATCCAAGGAATTCTTTACTATTACTATCACTATTGCACAATAGCATTACTTCCAAACCATTGCTCATTTGAAGCAATCTTGTCGCTTGCGAATATCATCAGCGGACGCATCCACAGATTCTGCATCTAACCCAAATAAATAAAAACTCAATCCGAGTTTAGAAGCGAATATCAACAGGAAAAACTCAAATCCACTGCTAACTTTCCCTACATGATTATTCTTATCATGACGATTGATTAAATATACATGTTTGTATTAAAGATACCAATTAGAATACGAATTACTGATACAAACAGATAAATGGCAAAACGATGTTTTGAGATATTGAACATGAAAATCAAAGACAATAATGCTATGTAACTTGAGATGATTTCATTCGAGAAGTTTCAACAGACTCATCATTAGTAACACGAGATGAACATGAACCAATTAATTGTAAAATAAAATTTCCATTACTACCATCAACAGATTACGAACTAGTTGATTTAATACTCTTTTGACTGGATAGAGAAAAATAAAAATGAAGAGCTTTTCTTCTATTATTTTCCATTAATCAATGCTCTGTACTTCGTACAAAAGTATAAAATTGTGATTTACAATGTGAGTTCAAATCAATTTACTTTTTATTTGGTGTAATTGAATTAAGCGATCTTTTGTGTGTCTATCTTTTTCGATTTTAGACTAATTATTATGTCATCGTTCATAAGAAGTATCAAACATTTCAAAGAAAAAGTAATCATTAACTATAAATATCTTCTTATATTTCGTTAGAAAGGAAGAAAGCATACAATCTATTACTTGGCAGATGATTAATATGTTGATTATTAAAATTAAAAATTAAAATTTTCCTATGAAAAAAAGCAACTCTTCGTAGAAGAGGGGAGGCTGAGCTTCTTCTACTTTCTGTCTGGATATACCACCATGTATAATTAACTTACTTCTTGAATGAACAAAGATGACATGTCAAAATACGTTTTTTTCCTACTTCAATTCGTTTTCATGCGTTAAGTAGACAAAATCAATGGTAAAGTCTAATTCAATATCAAGACAAGCATGTTGTCGAGAGTTTATGTGTAAAAAGCGAAAATAGATATGTGTAGTCACTTGTTGAAACTTTCTTATTTGGTCATTTTACTCAGATAGATGTGTTTTAACGTTATTTTTTCAGAATATTCTTTTTCCTTTATCTGTATGATATGTACATGTATTTGAAACGTTAAATCATATCGAATGCATTGCGTAAAATAAAATTGCAACTACTTACTAAAGGTTCTAGTAACTAATCTGCTCATATATTGTTATTCATTTGTAATAAGATCGAGTTTTACTCAAAAATATTTTCATAAACTATGAAATTATTTAGTCAAAAATTTACACCAGTGTGTTATCTTATGGATATTGATGCATAACAGAAATCATTATAAATAAAATTGTTTTTTTTTCATTGTATTATTTCAAAATAGAAAAAAATTAAAGAAGCAAAGAGATATGTAAATATTATAACCAGAAACAGTCGTATACTGATATTTAGGTAACAGCCAAGAATGTCCTTTAAAAAATGTCCTTGACAAAATGTCCCCGAGTTGTTGTCCTTCAAAAAATGTCTTTTACTATAAATATCCTTTACTATAAATGTCCTTTAAAAATGGTCCTTTTCAATAAAGTCCCATGAAAAAATGTCCTTCATTATTAAAATGTCCTTTTAGTAAACCATAAAAAAAGTTAACGATAATGTGATACTTAAGTGTTTGATTTATTATAGCAGATTAACTTTTATTTTATTTTTGATTCGCAACATAAAAAGAAAGACCACGTAAAAGATCTTGTACTGTAATTTTGCTTTGATTAAATCGATTGTACAGTTCTTTCATGCGTTGTTCGGCAGTTCTAGTTTGAGATCTTTTTGTTCGAGGTGGCATACCACTATTTATTTGTTGAATTAAATTATGAATTATATGAACTTCTTTTCGAATCGAATCCATGAATAGCCAAATATTCGGATGAGTTTTCTGTAAACGTCTTTTGAACCTATTGTTATAGCCTAAAATACCACAATATAATCAGTAAAAAATACTGTTTTACTTTCAAAAACCTTCACTATAATTGTTTGTTCGATCAGGTATTTCATAAACATTCCATATGAATACTTGACGCATTCAATGACTATTGAAATATTGTAATAAACCTGAAATTTCTTCACGTTCATCATCATTTAATTCTTGACCAAGTTCATTAAATAACACCTGAACATGTGATGGAGGTACTAATGCTAAAGCCATTGCTTGTTTAATAACATTTCGAATCATAAGATTATTCATATAACTTGATGATAAACCTAGTGATTGGACATGTCTATAAATCGATTGACAAAAATGAAAAAAACATCCTTTTTGGATGGTTTTCTCTGAGAACTATAGTTAGAAAAGTAGAAAAAAGTTATGGATTAGCAAAATTGTAGGTATTTTCGACAATAATTGTACCTGGATTAAAATTGCCTTTGTAAGACCTGGTTCAAAATCTGTCATTATATGTACAGGATCTAATTTTTTATTAAATTTTTTTGCCTGATCAAATAAAATGTTGAATAAGTATAAATAATTTGATGTTTTTCGATCAGGAAGAAGTGAGTGAACGACTGGTACACCTATCGTAAATAAAAGATAATTTATTAGTATGAGAAATTTTTATTTACAAGTAGTTTTGTCCCATAAATATAGCTTACATGATCCATGATGTATTGCTTGTATAATGAAGACTTGATCAAAATGTGCAGGTGAACTTGAAAATGTACCATCCATATGTAATCGTTCACTGTTAAATAATAAATGAAGTTGAATATCTGACGACCAAATTAAAATTCTTCCTGATGGTTGTATATTATCTGATGAATTGAATTGGAAACTTGGGTTTTCACTATCATGTAATAACAAACGATCACGATCAAGATAATATATTGTGTATATATCTGGTACGATAAAAGACGATGAATTTGGTATTGAAGGAAGCTTTTTCTGACGACACTGACTTAGGCCACGACCTAAAAAAGAGAAAAAAAGGGACATTAAGTGCATTAATGATACACATACATTTTTATACTATACCAATTTCAAAAATATTTGGTAAATTAGCTAGAGCATCACCACTTATTAACCATTCCGAACCTCTTGTTCAGCAATTTCTTGTAGTGATGATAATTCTCTTTCAGCTCTTTGTCGCATTTTTTCTTTCAGATCGCGTATTTACAATGCAGCAGGATTTGGTAAATGTGTGCGATTAATCTTTTTTCCAGAAAAACGTATAAATGCATCATTGAGATTTGTGTGTAAAAGAACGCCACAATCTCTTTTTGCACAGCGCCAAAANTATTATGTGTAAATTCTAACAGTTTTGTATTTTCTTTGTCAAAATTCATAAGAAAAATTTATGAAAATCGAATAATCAATTACTGTAATTTTTTTTCTTTATATCCTTTATTAACTTTACCGTCAGGTGTGATGAAAGCAATAGATATTTTTTTAAATAAAAGTTAATTGAAAAACTCGAAGCAATTTATTAAAAATAAATAAAATATCTTTGAAATTGCGATAATATCATATCAGATTGGTGATAAAGCAATGGATAATGTTTAAAATAACCGAGGAATAAATCGCGATTTATCGTAATAATCGCTAAAAATATCATTAAAAATCGGCGATTAATCGCGTTTCAGCTCACGATTATCGTTTCGATATATCGCGATTAATCAGCAATTTTTCAGCAATTTTTACGACATGGGAGAGCACTTCCTTTCAGATTTCATGTCCATCTTTGTGTTAATTCAATGTCTTTGCCTAAGCACTGATGATTTTCTGAAAATTCTACAATACTGAAGTTGGTGCTTCGAATGTGACGAATTGTCACACTCATAGTTACAGTAAAGCGATATACATTACGAGTTGAACGAGAAGTTGATCAGGACTATCTATCTTTAAGGACTACATAATTGACAAATGCGAATGATGCAAAAAGGTATAAAGTGAGTTTCAATCAATATAGAACACAGGACAATTCCTGAGATTCCATCAGACACAGGTAACAACCAAGTTTTGTAACACCTCGCAGGTAAATACGAAGGCAACTTTTCGCGATAAGTTAGTTTTTTGGATGCCTCATTGATGATTTCATCATATCGACGGAAGAGATTTATTGTGCAATTCAGTTGGCTTGAATTCAATTTGAAGAAACCTATAGCGGAATTATTTCTACATTCAATCGATGAGAATATCGCTCGATGAATAGAGTATGCAAGGGCTAACTCATAGAGACAGCAACTATTGAGATTTCATTTGCCTGAATGTAACGAATAAGCTGCACTTCAAAGTTTAGGAATGTGTAGGTCTGTTGCACCTAATTGAGCAGAGTAGGAATATTGTATATTTCGGGTACATCGGGATCGATCTTGACTTTATTGAAAAAAAAAACGAATTTCCAAAAAAACGAGAAAAAGATGGTCAATATCTTTTACACTTAGATATCGACACAGTTTAATAGTTCTCGCAACTAACTTATCATCCGCCTCATCCACCACAACCTCCACATCCACCACAACCTCCACATCCTCCGCCACCTCCACATCCACCGCCATCTCCACCTCCCCCGCCATCTCCACCTCCCCCGCCATCTCCACATCCACCTCCACTTCCACCTCCTCCGCCATCTCCACATCCTCCGCCACCTCCAGATCCACCACCACCTCCACATCCGCCTCCACTCGATGAGTATGTAGCAACTGGTGCAATTATTATTGCGCAGGCGCTAACATATCCCGATGTGCGCAAGTTATCTTTGTCAATATCTTTGCCATAATCTACTTTGTAGGTCATCTTCCACTGTTCAGCTGTTTTTTGATAAGCATCAGCTAGAATATACTTTTCTAGAGAGTCATTATGATCAAGAAGAAAACCACATAAGGCTTTCGACGTGTTTTGATAAGATATTGGAGATCTCATATGTGTATGCCATATCAAATCAATATCGAATGTTGGTACAATTAGTTCACCATTTTTTGCTAATTTTAAAAATGAAATATAATTTTGCACCATTTGTTCGAATAAGTTTCGCGTCAATCGTCGTAGATCCATTGAAAAAAGTTTATGTTGCTTAAATTTTTTAAGAAAATCACGTTGACGAACTACAGCTTCTGCCAGATCGATCGAAGGAACAAATGTTGAAGAATTTCTTATTGATTCGAACAAATTAACTGAACGGTGTTTTCGACGTTGTTTTATTCTTAATCGTCGATATTTTTTATCGACAGGTATACCATTTGGTAATTGCTTAGCACAATCGTTGTCATAAGCAATTGGATGAAGACGATGAACATGCCAGATCCAATCGATCTGCCATGGAAGTCTTCGTTGTTTATACTTGGTTGCAATTCCTCGATGAGCCATGCGTCTACAATAATCATCGATATAATAATTCAACGTCTCACCTTGCTGCGTCATTTCTGGATGTGCAATTACTCGACGAAGCAATACAATATGATCAACAAAATCACGAGAAGACATTGCAAATGTCTTTCCATCACTTGTATAAATATTTACAGAAATATGTGGTATTGAAATTGAATGTGAACTGCCCATATCTTGTCAATATTATTGTTGAATAACTATTACTGTTTTATTTCCAAATAAGTTACACTTAAGACTAAAATAGTTCAATGTTTATTATTTCTAACGATATTGTGTTCATAGAGAAACAAAACAACGTTTTTCTTTTTCGTGAAACTTGTTGAGTGACAATACTGACTGATTTTCATGAGTTCAGTAAGATTTTAGAGAGAAGCTGTAAGAGGAAGAATAAAAAATATTAAAAAGTTCACCTGATATTTGCTTAAAGGAGAAATAATTGTTTTTTTTTAAATGTTTTATCAATTTTATAACAAAAAAAAGACCTGTTTAATCCAGCTAGTAAAAAAACAGTCACTTATCCAAAAGAGCTTAGTTTTGAATGGCTTGTGCGTTGACTTTAATTGTTTTCTTATAATTTAAGTCTTCATGAGGGATTTGGGTGCCAGAAGAGGACGATTCGCATACTGAAAGAATGAGATATAACGTGATAACTGTCAGAAAAAGTTATGTTTTTCAGTTTTTTTTCAGTTATTTCTATATCTTTGAAGTTTCTAATTTAAAGTCTACAGAAAATTTAAAAATTTAAATGTAATTAGTTTAATCGAAAAAAATCTGATTTTAGTTGTTTCCACTCTGTGCTTACTTCTGGTTCCAATGACATATTCATTCTATGTTACATATTCGTTTATTTATAAGTCTATTTGAACAAAATTCAACTAGTCTTCCTACTTTTTCTTCCTATACTCGAGACTGACACCCGTAAGTGTTCTACTCTCGTTTTTATACACACACATATATAATGAGTCAAAAAATTTCCAAGTGTCGTTTATTTAATTATTGAAGCATGACTGCAATACATTATGAATCATAATGACGCAGAGGAAGTAAAAACATGAATACGCAAATATTCATCACGAAAGTTCGAAGCTTTATGGAAAAATTATTCTTAATAGACTTTTTGAAAAGAAAAATCAATATGTCAATGAATTCATTGGATAGATTTAGGTTATTGTACAAGCTTATACAATCAATAAAAAGAATAACAAAAAATTTCAGAATTCATTATTGTCATAAATTGGTAGTTATGTCTGAGCGTGATTATCACCAATATTTCTCTATAATTCTATAGAATAATCGATACGTGTCGAAGAATTTCATTTTCGTTCAATTTCTTCAATTATTCAATTCGACACAATCATAATAGTTTCATAAGTGTCTTTCAATTGAGTTATTTCTTTTAAAGTTTAATCAAGGGGGGAAAAGCTGATTCTATAGCGATAGAATCATCGGAATCACACAGAATCACTCAGAATCAATAGAATCACTCAGAATCATTCAGAATCATTCAGAATCACACAGAATCACTCGGAATCACATGGAATGAAACACCTAAGAAATATATGTCTAAGCTTCTTATCATGCTTGATCGAATATATTTCATTGGTTAGAAGCAGTTAAGTAGTTTTTTGGCAGTTTTTCACCGAGTAGTAGAATTAATTTCACCATTTTACAGCAAACAAGCAGGTTTTTATTAAACTCCTGTATACTTTCGAAGAAAATATACACGTTTGCTGGTTTAAAGTGAGTTTTTCGCAACTTGCTCGTCGTTCTAGCAATGGCGAGTGAGAAGGAGAGAACAAAGTCAAAGATTATTGGGTAGATTTCTATAGTATAGAGAAAAGACGTGTAAGCAATAACGATGGTAATATTATGCTAAAACTCTGGACACCCTCACTACGTAGTCTAAATATGGCAAGTTTTGGTATTTAATGCATAACGAAATGGTGTTATTGTAGNACTAACATACTGGAAAGATAAAATTATCTGTGTACTACTCATGTATCAGAAAAAAGATCAGTTTTATCGTAACAGGTTGAAATGGCAATTTCTGAAATCTTCCCCTGTAGAACTACAAAAAAAGATGAAATTCCGTAACAAAGTGAAATTCCGTAACGAGCGATATTTCAAGTTTTTTATTTGATGAAGCTAAGACGAATCAGAAATGACTTGATATTCTAGTAGCTTGTTAAAAGCTGAACAACTTTTGAATATAATCTTCATTTGAATACTTCGTTCTTTCGTATAAAAATGCTTAACTTGTAGCCTCCCTAAAAAAAATTTCCATTTTTAGAAATTCCGTAACGGTCACTATTTTTTGAATAACTCTGCTGCGGTTGAAGACAAATTTGTGAAATTTTTACTGATAATAGATCTAAGTGAGCTGTATTTATGATAATAATTTCAGACAGTTCACTCGTATTACTAAGCAGTTATACAGGTTGCAATCTGAAAAAATGAAATTCCATCACGCGTGGCCACGCCGTACAGCAAAAAAGGTTTCGTAAAAAAAATACGAAACCTTTAAGGTTTCGTATTAAATTCTAACGGCTTTTTACTAAGCACTAATGGTTTGGCACTAAACCAGTAGAATTTAATACGAAACTTTAAAGGTTTCGTATTTTTTTTACAAAACCTTTTTTTGCTATACGGAACTTAAAAAACGTTTCGCAGGAAAAAGGTTCTTCCCGTGTATCCAGGGGAAGAACCCTTAAAGGTTTCGTAGAACTGAAAAATCGTTTTTTAAGCATTTGAATGCATTTCCAAGCTTTTTCAAATCTACGGAACCTTTTTCGGGGGTTTGGTAAAAAACCTTTTTTTTTATAGTGTAGATCTCTGTGGAACTTTAGAAAACTGCAAGGTATTCTTTGAAAGATTGACACTGATGAAACCCTGAATATGTAAGGATTCTCAGTATGTCTTAGCAACCATATAGAGTACTCATATACCTACATAATGATGAAAACCGCAGCTCTCTAGCTATTTTCGTTCTTGAGTTATTCCAAAAATACACACGACCATTTAATTTTTGGACAGACATTAGTATCCACATGCAGTAAAAACCGTTAAAAAACTTTGAATGCGTTTAGAAGTAAAGAAAAATATGAGGAAGTGCCAAGAAGAATCAAGAACTATGAGCATAAACCAAATCGAACGAGAATGAGAAAGTACCATCGAGTACAAAAGCACGTTTAATCCTTCTTGCTCTCAATAATAGGAAATTGTTTTCATCAACCCTAGAAACGCAGATTCTGAGAAAGTGCAGCTACTTATTGACAGCTTGTACAGTTCATTTCCAAGCACCATTACCATGCGAAACGTGATTCCCTTCCTCACGCAAAATCGAAGCGACTCCCTGTGTCGTCTTTTTCATTCCTGCTTGCCAGTCAGCTGAAAGTGTTGAGCCAGGAAATCACATTCCCACAGTCTAAAATTGTCACAAGACATCATTCTCATTACTGCGATCACCATAAATAACCTTCTCTATTTGGCTCTGAGAGCCAACCGCCTAACCTGAGCCGCGCTGTCAAAGCAATTGCCCTCTGGTGCTATCGGTGATGCCGCAACACTCACCACGAGCTAGACACAATTACTCAGTACAGGCTCACGACACATACCCAGTGAAAAAGTCTCGAAGAGTACCAATTGCTGGGTCACTTCCACTATCCTGTCAACATACGCCCAATATAGTGTCCTCAGACTCCATCAGCAGTTCTTTGCAGCAGTAATTGAGCAGCTAGAAGTTCCCCTTCGCATTTAGTAGAAATTGATCATCTTAGGGAATCGAATGGTATCGATTGAGGGCGCCAGGCTGATGCACAATCATATTTCAGAACTCAAGGTATTCTACTATGGTAGGACTTCAGGAGCCACGAGTACCCTAATAGTAGGACTTGAGGGCCCAAGAGAACTTCTCCCCCGAATACTACGACTTGAGGAGCTGAGGTTACCCCCAACAGTAAGACTTGAGGGCCCAGGGGTACCCCCGAATAATCGGACTTAAGGACTCAGGGCTATAGGTTTGGTGAAGAGAGACACATACCTGACTGTTACTCATATTCCCGGGTAACTGGTAACGTAACGGTAACTTTTCACTGATAGTTGAAGGTTCCTCATAAAAAAAAGTTATTTGTTATTTTTTTTGTTATTTATAACAAATAACAAAAAAAAATATTGTTATTAATAACAATAGCAATACATTCACACGTCTAACACAGAAGTCTCAACCCGAATCCGAACCCGAACCACGAACCGTTCAGTGCATGCCTATGAATAACTTCGAGCGAATTGACAAAATGAAAATGAATAGTAGCGCACATAGAAATAAATCTTTGTTCGAAATTTAACATAAAATAGTCTACGAAAGGTTTTTCACTTTACGTATTTGGTATTAATAATTTAGTGAGGCTAGAAA